TTGCTTAGAGACGGGATCAAGAATGAGCTCTTCCATCACCTTCCCAGGGATGGAGGTGAGGCTGACTGGCCTGTAGTTGCCTGGATCCTCCTTCTTGCCCTTTTTGAAGATTGGAGTGACACTGGCTATCCTCCAGTCTTTAGTCACCTCTCCCATTGTCCAGGACCTTTCAAAGATGATAGAGAGTGGTTTAGCAGTCAAGTCCACCAGCTCCTTCAGCTCTTGTGGGTGCATCCCATTGGGGCCCATGGATTTGTGTATATTGATTTTGTTTAGGCTAGGATTTTTGTTTCTTGTTTGTCAAAGATTTGTCTTTACTGCAAGTTGTATTTAATGTTACACATATTCAGGTGGTATTTGTGCATCTTGGCACTTTCACAAAAGATGAGAAACCTGCTTGTACCCGGTGGTATTACTGTGTGAGGTAAAAAAGGCATATTTGAGACCCCACCTGATGACTTTGTTTCTTTCAAGTATATCTTTTTGATGAAAATAGATTAACAATTGAACTTTGAAGCATTGCTTGTTATACACTACCAGTTGCCCTTTAATTGCAGAATTAAGTTTGATTTCCAGTGGAGAATAATTTAATAGATTGTTAAGAGACTAATGGATTTTTAGTATTCTAAGCAGCTTAGACAAAGATTTTTAATGTATTTCCCAAACAATTTTCCCACTCTCTTTGTTATATACGATCCGTTTTCTTTCCAGGATCCTAAGGTTTGTTTTTTGGTTTTGTTTTGTGGTGTGAAGTTGTGAGGGGTTTTTTGTTTGTTTGTTTGTTTGTTTTTAATGGAACAAGTATATTCTCCTACTTTTGTTATATTTAAAATCACTTAACCTTATTTTACCATCTGTATTCTTTTCCCTACCTACCCCATGTCATCGAGAATCCGATGTCTGCTTAAAAAAAAAATTAGCTTTAAGTAAGGTAACTTCAGAATAGGGATTTTGAATATTAATAAGTTACATTATTTTTAATGTAACTTTTGCTGTTCCTGCTTATACTGTGTTTAGAAAGAGTATAATGTGCTATACATATTTTAATTAGGAGTGAATTCTGGAACTTATTTGTTGCTTGTATTTAATTTTGAAAAAATTATGCCACTAACTGACTTTGTTAACATATGCTTGTGCTGTTTTGCATTTCACCTCTTTGTTCCTTGGTTCGGTCTGTAATGATTGTAGATTTGTTTTGTTTTGTTTTCTTCTCATGTTAGTGAGCCCTTTCTGTTCTCTCTGTAAAGCACCTACTGCTTGTGTGGATAATTTTGAGAGCAGAGGGACCCTGCAGAGGGATCTAGATAAACTCAAGAGCTGGGCGATCACTAACTGAATGAATTTTAACAAGGGCAAGTGCCGGATTTTGCACCTGGGACAGGGCAACCCTGGACACACGCACAGACTGGGGAAGAAGAGGCTGGAGAGCAGCCCTGCAGAGAGGGACCTGGGGGTTCTGGCTGATGTCAAGTCAAACATGAGCCAACAGTGTGTCCTGGCAGCCAAGAGGGGCAACCGTGTCCCATGGTGCATCCAGCACAGCATGGTGAGCTGGTCGAGGGAGGTGATGGTCCCGCTGTACTGGGCACTGGTGTGGCCTCACCTCCAGTATAAAAAAGATATAAAGCTCCTGGAGAGTGTCCAGAGCAGGGCCACTAAATTGGTAAAGAGTTTAGAGGGGAAGCCATGTGAGGAGACACTGAAGTCTCTTGGTTTGTTCAGCCTGGAGAAGACGAGACTGAGAGGAGACCACATTGTGATCTAGAACTTCCTCACAAGGGGAAGAGGAGGGGCAGGCGCTGACCTCTTCTCTCTGGTGACCATTGATAGAATCAGGGGAAATGGCAGGAAGATGTGCCAGGGGAGGGTTAGGTTGGACATTAGGAAAAGGTTCTTCACCCAGAGGGTGGTGGAGCACTGGAACAGGCTCCCCAGGGAGGCAGTCATGGCACCAAGCCCAACAATATTCCAGAGGCATTTGGCCAACATGTGCCCTCAGACACATGGTCTGAATCTTGGGATTGTCCTGTGCTAGGGCAGGAGTTGGACTTGATGATCCTTGTGGGTCCCTTCCAACTCACAACGTTCTATGATTCTGTGATTATTTCTCTGGGGCTAACTTCTTAGCAGTAAGTGAGAATTCTGTAAAATTCCACTCTTTCATTGAAGGAAATGAAAACTAAATTTCTTATGTTCTTCTGAGTTGCAGAGGAAGATTTTACAATATGACCATACCTGCTTGAAACACTGAGATCCGCATGTTGCCAAAATCCCATTATAAAGGGTCATTACAGTTAAACTACTCTAATGCTATGCTAAAAGCATATTTGTAAAATATTTGTTAAAATTTAAATTTATATTAGTGCTAAGTGTTGACAAGATTTAATAACCTTTTTCTAGAATTCAGAGAGGTGGGATTCTATAGCATCATAATAAAAGCCCTTTAAGGCTTGTGGGGCTTCTTTTATCATTCAGGTACCTTTTATAACCAGAGGGGAAAAAAGTACACTTAAATATTTTATCAGATATCAAACTAGCCTAAAGAGATATATCTGGTTAGAAAATTTATTTAGCTTTCACAGTTTGTGACAGATTCAAAGCCCACTTATTTACAATAATCACCAAAAATCCTTCAGTGGATTAGATACAACAATTTTTTTAAAAAAAGAAAGTCCACATTAGCAGAATCGGTTCTTATTATGTACTCAAAAAGCTGTGCATAGAGTTTGGGGGCTTACTTAATTTTGCTGTGGCTTGCAAATTTTCAGTTTAGTTGCAATTAATATTTGTGTTGACAATGAATACAGTACAGAATATCTGCAACTAGGCTATAGCTAATATCAATGTTTGACAATCAATATTACTTAAAACTAAATGTAAAACAAACAGTCCATTTCCAATTATATTTCTATTTTATATTGATAAGTTTTATCATGTCAACACAATTTTGTAGAAAAATAATTTACTTCAGTCTTTACACTAGTCAGAGGCTGAAATAGCTGGCTTTGCTCTGGTTGTTACTTATGATGAATGTTTCCTGTTAGCAATAAATTGTCACACACACTCACACACACGTGAGCATACTCAGACAAGACCCTATGGCACCTGCCTTTTAGTTAAAATGCTGATATTTCCCAGAATAAAAAACACAGGACTCTCCTACTGCCTAGTTTGAATGACTTTCTGCCACTTCTAAGGACATCAACTTAGAGTGTGTTTCAAGTTTAATCCTCTTCTCCATCAGATCCTGGCTGGGTTATTTTACAGTCTTCTAAGATTTCTCATTATTCGTTTATCCTGAAAACTGCATTTTAAAGAAACTGAAATTTTCTGTATCTTGCTTTAATGTCTTGTTATCCACCCATGATTCATACCAAAGGCATTTTTATTAGTAATGTGCCTGTTTAATGAGGAAAAGGAAGACATACCCATGGAATGATATTAAAATGACTTGGTGCTTTAAGTAATTTTTCACTCATTCTAGGAATTTTTTTCTTCCAGTTACGAGCTTTAGACTAGCTGTCAGTGTTGAACTCTGTTATATACTATGAAATGAAAGACTAATCTGAATTATTTTCAGAAAAAGGATTTTTCCTAATGTCTCATGGCAGTTGCCCACATAAGGGGACTGAGGTTTGCAGATGTAAACCAAAGCTGATTTTGCAGATGCAATTACATGAAGTCTTCTCAGACACAGGCAAAGTTTTTACATGGAATGAAGCCTCAACATAAAAAAAAATATCCCTTATGTCCAAGCTAAATCTACCCCCTTTCAGTTTAAAATCATTGCCCCTTGTCCTTTCACTACAGGCCCTGCTAAAAAGTCTTTCTCTGTCTTTCTTATAGGCCCCCTTTAAGTATTGAAAGACCACAGTAAGGTCTCCCTGGAGCTTTCTCTTCTCCAGGCTCAGCAACCAATTCTCTCAGCCTTTTTTCACAGAAGAAGTGTTCCATCCCTCCTCTGGACTCGCTCTAACAGGTCCATGTCTTTCCTGTTCTGGAGACCTTGGAGTTGGACACAGTACTCCAGGTGGAGACTTGATGAGAGCAAAGTAAAGGGACAGAGTCACCTCCCTTGACCTTCTGGCCACGCTGCTTTTGATGCAGCCTAGGATATGGTTTGGCCTTCTGGGCTCTAAGTGCGCCGTGCTGGCTCACCTCCAGCTTTTCACCCATTAGTACCCCCAAGTCCTTCTCCACAGAGCTGCTCTTAGTCTGCTCATCACCCAGCCTGTATTTATGTTTGGGATTGCCCCGACCCAGGTGCAGGACCTTGCATGTGGCCTTGTTGAACTTCATGAGGTTAGCACAGGCTCCACCTCTCAAGCCTGCCAAGGTCCCTCTGGATGGCGCTCCATCCCTCAAGCAAATCAGCTGCACCACTTGCTGCAGAATGATAAAATCTTTTCTATCCCTTAAAAGCAAAACTTACATTTGTCTTTGCAATACCTCTTACACTTAACAACAGAGAGCGAAGAAAAAATATTTCTTTCCATAGAGCGGTACCTCGGCTGTATCTCACTGAGGTAGGCATGAACCAGAAGATAGCCTGTAGGAATTTGATGCCTGCTTTATGACTATGCTAGGTCAGCCTCTGGTTTGTCCTGAAACAAACCAAACCAACAAACAAATCAAAAGTATCTGTACTAAAGAAAGTATTTAGAATTGTAGAAACATTACACTCTTATAAATTGGTATTAAAATTCAGTTGAGTTTAAAAATAGTAGGTTTAGAGGTCATTATGACCTTTGTCAAGGTCCTCTCTTAAGAAAAATCACACCTGGATGACAGTAAGCTAGACTAACTTGATTAAAACATTCAGTAGCAGTCATTTAACTTGAAAAATTAAATGCATTCAAGGTTTAAAACTGCTTATTTTCTCCTAGGTTCCTTTCTGGTGCCTAGTCTCATTGACAGGAAGAGTGAAATAAAGGGGAGAGTGTGTACTGCATGCCAACAGTAATCCTTTCTCACAATAGTGTAATCATTTAATTGATTAGGAGAGTGCTCAGATGATCAAAGGAGTGAAAGTAGATAAAGTGACAGTGCTGGAAAGAAAACAAGTGGAAGCAATCAAGAAGCTCTGGGAAGACCCTGGAATTCAAGAATGCTACGACAGAAGGAGGGAGTACCAGCTCTCAGACTCTGCTAAGTAGTAAGTACACTGCATAATTAAAGGACAAGCCAGACTTAATGAAGTCAACCTAACACTGCCAAGTCCACTACTAAACCATGTTCCTAAGCACCATATCTACACATCTTTTAAATACCTCCAGGGATGGTGACTCAACCACTTTCCTGGGCAGCCTGTTCCCATGCTTGACTACCCTTTTGGTGAAGAAATTTTTCCTAATATCCAAACTAAACTTCTCCTGGCACAACTTGAGGCCGTTTCCTCTCATCCTATCACTTGTTACTTGGCAGAAAACATCAACACTCACCTTGCTACAACCTCCCTTCAGGTAGCTGTAGACAGTGATAAGGTCTCCCCTCAGCCTCCTTTTCTCCAGACTAAATAGTCCAAGTTCCCTCAGCTGCTCCTCATGGCTCGTGTTCTAGACCCTTCACCAGCTTTGTTGCCCTTTTTTGGACACACTCCAGCACCTCAATTACTTACTTGTAGTGAGGGACCGAAAAGTGAGCATAGTGCTTGAGGTGTGGCCTCAGTAGTGCTGAGTACAGGGGGATGATCACTTCCCTGGTCCTACTGGCCACACTGTTTCTGATAAAATCCAGGATGCTGTTGGCCTTCTTGGCCACCTGGGCACACTGCTGGCTCATAATGAACAGATAGGTACACTCTGATTTTATTGGTTATACCTGTTTCTCTGTTAGCCTGTAGTACACAACAAATTTTAACCTGAAGTGATGAAACAAACTAATTTTAGGCTTTCTGAACATGCTGGAACCATCATCCCTCCCAGTTCTGAGGTCAACACAGATGGTACATAACTGAGTTTCCCTTGGAGGAAATAATGAAAATCAGCTGTACAAAATATACTGACAACAAGCAGGCAGGTCAGACAGTTGAGTTACATGAAAGGTTTAGGATATAAGTAGGAAGATAAGTCTTTCCCCCAGTTTTCAAAGAATTTAATTGTGAAAAAATGATTGTTTCATGAGAACAAAAACCTTACATTTCTGTTTCTGCCAAGGTTGAGAAGTGACAGGGTTAAATTTCAACAAGGAACATTTAGATTAAGCATTTACAATAAACTTTAACTGAAGAGTGGTTACACACAGGCAATCTGTTCCTCTGTGTTAAGCATCATCATTCTTGACAGATGTTTGCCTGTCTTGTTCTTAAATAGTCATACACTGGAGAAGAAGGCTGCCACTTAATGGTTTGCTGTAGCCTCATTTCTAAGAAATCAACCACATTTAAATTTTATTAAATCTTCCTTTTACTGTTAATTACAATTGAGATCTCAATAACAATTTGCTACATGGCTGGAGAGGATTTTCTTATTCTTAAGAGAAATCTTTTCTGAGTAAGGGATAACTTTAAGTATGTTTTTATTTTGGAGCCCAAATGTGAGGGATGTTTGGGCAGCAAGGGAAGAATACCTTCGACACCCTCCCTTTTCCAGCAAAGGAAAAGGGGGAATTAGGGCTTAAATGAAGGAAGGTTTGTGCTACAGCCATGTTTATGATTTGGAATACACCTTACACTTTTTGTATGCCTGGATAGGATTTTGGATGATCGCATGTTGCCTTCTAGCGGTGGGAAGACAAGTTGCAGAGAGGAATACCAGGCGTCGGTTCTTTGTGTCTTACTCGCATACAGTTCATTTATTGAGGCACAGGAATTTCATCCTAGAATTTAATCCCAGCCATGAAAAGCTCAAGAGCTGTGTGGGACTGAAGAGGGTAAAGTTAAGAATTACTGCATGGTCAGACAAGAAACTAAATACATCATCTTTTATATTAAAAATACATGTTTGAAGTATTCGTGTTTGCAGTGTTTTCTATTAATTATTTTTCTGAATTCTGTCAAGCAACCTTTCACATTTGTGTACAATATCAGCATCATGGATGAAGTGATAGGTGTTAGAGTACTGTTGCTAAACATCATTGCTAGGATTGATATTTATATTTTCAAATCTTAATTCTGATGTTTATTTTGGGGTAATAGCAAAGATCATTCAAATAAAAATCATCATTTTGGTTGTGGGCTGATTGCCTATAGAACATTCAGGCATCATCTCTTTTGTCTGGTATTATTCTATCTGAAATGTATATGCAGGTCTCATTTAAAGGAAACTGGTTTATAGTTTTATGCCAGCAACAATTGCACTAAGGCCATGCACAACTGAATTTCTGTAGCTGCTTTTGAGGGAACAGTTCTGTGATTGCTGGTTAGTACTTTGGCTTTGAATCTGTGTCATTAATTTATGATAGTGCATTAATCTTGTTTCTGTTATATATTTAACTTTTCAGTTATCTTACTGACCTTGATCGTATTGCTGTGCCCTCATTTGTGCCAACTCAGCAAGATATTCTTAGAGTTCGAGTGCCAACTACAGGAATTATCGAATATCTTTTTGATTTAGAAAATATTATATTTAGGTAAGACTGCCTGTTAAATGATTCAGTACACAATTATGAAAGTAGTTGCTGCAACTTTACTTCTAAGGTCTTTTAAGCTTTTGCATTCAGTGTTGTGTTTCCAGCCCTTTGTATTCCAAAGTTAATACAGTATCTTGAGTGCTGTTTCAAAACATTCCTTTTGAAATGTATATTACATGAAAAAATCTTTTCAATTCAAGCAGCCAAATGACTGTGTATTCTGAACGATTAGTTTAATTAAAAGCCCTGAATGGGGGGAAGCAGAAGCAAGGTATTTGTAGTAATATGAGTGCTTGTATCAGAATGTAGTTTATTTAATTTAGAGCCAACAAGTTCTGCCTCCTGACTTGAAATGTTTGGAAGAGAGGGCCCTAATAGATATGCCAAAGCCCTCAAGTGGGTTTACAGCTTTCAATTAAATAAAGTTAGGGAAGGGAACTAGAGACACTGAGGGAGGGAGGAAGAAAAAAAAAGTGGACAGTCACAACAGTAGATACTTCTATTCTTCCTGCCATATAATATAAAAAAAAAAAAAAAAGGGAACATTTTCAGTGGAATTGAGAGAAATAAACATACTTACAAAGTTGAAAGAAAGTCTGCACTTTTCTGAAAGAAAGAAGCACCTTAAAATTATCTTGTCTGTTACTAGGCAAGCTATTGCAGGTGGGGTTACTGATTTTCTAAGGGAAGGTTTTTTTTTTTAAATTTCAAAATAGCAGAATTCTCAGTAGCATGATTATAGATGTTCTTCTACTGAACCACCCATTGCTTTATGAACAAATACCTGCCTGCACTTACAACACAGAATGAGAATCCACTCTGATAACACATGATCAAACCAGCCTAACTGCGATTTTGTTGTGTGTTTGTTTTCCTGGAAAATAGAATTTTGCAGGGAACACTAACCTGGGTAAAATGTGAGGGACTTATTAACTGCCTGCAAAACCATATGAATTTGATGTGGAACTAAGATATTTGTGAGATTTTTGAGTGTGTAGGGAAACAAAATTGAATATGTTCACATCTGCCTTCACCAAAACTTCTACCAACACAGAAAAAAGGAAAGCACTATATTTTGTATTGTGCCTCGAGTGGCTTGTACACTTGCACTGGGCCTGGCGAGGATAAAGTTAATTTTCTTCTTAGCAGCTGATATGCTGTTGTGTTTCAGATTTGTAACCAAAACAGTACCAATAACATACCAGTGTTTTAGCTGTTGCTGAACAGGGTTTGCACAGCGCCAAGGCCTTATCTGTTTGTCTGCCCTACAGTGAATGTGTTGAGGGTGCACAAGAGGTTGGGAGGGGACACAAACAGGCAGATGACCTGAACTAACCAGAGAGATATTTCACACCATATAACATCTTGCTTAGTGATAAAGTGAAAAGAGAGGCTTCAGGCAGGTTGGTTATCTCTTCTTGGGAACTGGTTGAGCATTGGTCTACGCATTGGAGGTGGTGAGTTACTGCTTTTGCATCCCTTGTCTTCTTTATCCCTTCTTCCACTTATCTTTTACTTACTACACTTATCCTTCACTAATTAAGCAATTACATATTTTTTTAAAATCTCGACTCCCAAATTTTCTTTCTTTCCTTTCGCTCTGTTCACCCACGGTGTGGGGCGATAGCGAGCAAGCGGCTGTGTCGTGCTCAGCTGCCCACTGGGATTAACCCACAACGACACTGAAGAACAGTGAAAGTTGTAGCACTACAGCAAACGAGTCATGTTTAAATATTTAATAGAACATACAATGTTAAGATATACTTTCAACAGTTCAAGCTTATCTCAGGCTATCTATTATAAGGCCTTTGCATATACTTAAAACTATCTCATAAAAATTACTAATATGGTGACTGTATTTCTGTTTAACAGGATGGTGGATGTAGGTGGCCAAAGGTCAGAAAGAAGGAAGTGGATCCATTGTTTTGAAAGTGTTACTTCCATCATTTTCTTAGTTGCATTAAGTGAATATGATCAAGTTTTGGCAGAATGTGACAATGAGGTAAGGAGTGGGATACAGAAGGTACAGAAAAAGATGTGTGCTTTTCAAGAAAGACAGCATTCACATGTCTTCATAAAAGCATTTGTAAACACTAGAATTACATTAAGCTGATCAAGCAGTCCTGAAGTTGTATTAAATTAGCAGCAAGCCTGTAAAAGTGAACTCTACCTTTAAAGACAAAAGATGGTTTAAAAATGTTTTAAATCACTTAAGCCATGTCAGTTGTTTGAGAATTAGAGTATCAGCAATATCTCTAAGCAAGTAAAACTACCTCAGTCATCTGTAATTAGGTTCTTCGTTTGTTTTTCAAGTATCCAATGTTTCAGAATTAACCTGTGCATCAATTAAGGAAAATTAAAGCAAAATAACTTTAAATTTTCCTCCTTCCCAATGTTAGAAAACATAATTTGAGTTCTTCCATATGTTCTAGAGTGCTGTCATCAGCAGCCAGATATTGTAGAGAAGGATGCAAAAAAGAAAACAGTAGACAATTATGGGAAAGCATATTAGGGGAACTGCATTGCTTTTGGTAGTAGTTGCTTTACATCCTCAAAAACACTTAATACCATTTGGACTCTAAAGTCCCAAAGCCCTTCCAGATCACTTTCTCAAGGTCTGTTTGAACTGTGAAAAGCATACCTTACTTCACTTGCCACAGTATCACAACATCCGTTGTAGCTGAGATAGAGTTTTCAAAGTTTTCTGTCATCTTTTGATGCATAAACAACTTCAATTAACTGTAATTTGCTTTTTCCTTTCACTATCTTGAACATTTTGTTATGATCACTTTGGACATTAGAAAATAAATAACTGATTGCCATCACAAGCTTATCTCCAGGAATCCCAAACAGCAAGCTCTGAATGTGGTGTTCCTTAGATCTCTCTTGAAATGGACAGACTTTATTAATAGTATAGATGAGTGCATATGCTCTTGTCCTTTAACTATGCTACAGTATGTTAATATCAGATATTTGACCTGATACACTCTGCTTCATCTCTCACTGTGAGGTCAGAAGAGGCTTTCATAGAGCAGCAGTCCATGGCTGCTCATTAACTCATACAAAAATTCAAATTATTTCTATTATTAAGGCTTACCTTAATTTCCCATGCCATCATGCCATTCTTAGTGGTGATCCAAAGCCCAGTGAATAAAAGGATATAGAATATGATGAGTAATGATCAACCAGTGGATTGCAATTGCACTTAAGTAATATATTTTAAACAGCTTTCAAAAAAACCCTTTATGATCTCTGGCTGATGTGATTTGTGTATGCTACTGTTAAGAGAGTGTAACTTCGTACTAATTTTTGTTGTTGTAGAATCGAATGGAAGAAAGCAAGGCCTTATTTAAAACTATCATTACATATCCATGGTTTATGAATTCTTCAGTCATTTTGTTTTTAAATAAAATTGATCTTCTAGAAGAGAAAATAATGTATTCCCATCTAGTTAGTTACTTTCCAGAATACACAGGTAAGCATTTATCCCACAGTATCATCACAAAGCTAAAAATCATATTTAAACTGTTTAGTTTTTCCTCATTAAATTGAACACAGAAAATGGAATTATGCAATATATTTGATATCTCTGCTTTTCTACTTAAGTTACTCAGTTTTACTGTAACTTTGCTTTTTTTCACTGGAGCATTGTGGACAGAGTCTTAAGAGTTTTCTTGCAGCCATTCTGTTACCATTAGTGTGGTATTTATCTATTCACTATTTATGAAAATAAGCACCTTTTTCATCTGTGATCTCAAGAGACAAGGTATGAGGGGAACTCGGGGAATACAACTATTAATCCAATGTTTATACAGGAAAAACCCATAGTATAGTTTTGCATTCACTGTTATAACTTGTTATGTATATAAAAGTCCAAAGTTAAAAAGCAGCCTGAATAACTTTCCTTAAAAACTGTTACTGATACTTAAAGTTGCCAGAAGAATGATGAAAATAATCACAGATGTGATGTAATTTCAGTTGCATAGGTTTTTATAAAAAAATTACTTTGACCTGTAAGGTTTACCATTGAAAAAAAGCATACTCCACGCATTTTAGAAAGCAGTGCTGGAAGAGCTTTTGCTCCACTAACATATGAGAAAAAGCCAACAAGGGAGTATGCCTTTATGACAACTTGACATTTAAGTATTAAATTAACCTGTTAAGATACTGTGTATATGTTTCTTCCTTGACCCATAGCTTTTAACTGTTCAAAACTAATAATTGTGCTTTTGACTAGGACCTAAACAAGATGTCAAAGCTGCCAGAAACTTCATTTTGAAGCTGTATCAGGATCAGAATCCAGACAAGGAGAAAGTAATCTATTCTCACTTCACTTGTGCCACAGACACAGAAAATATTCGTTTCGTCTTTGCTGCTGTCAAAGACACAATCCTGCAATTAAATCTGAGGGAGTTCAACCTGGTTTAAAGAAAAAACATGGTTGCAGTCACAAAGTGTGCCTTACTCATAGCACAGCCTGTGTTGATAAATAAGGGGTCATTTTAAATACCATTTACAAAAATGGGAGGACGATTTATATTTACTGAAGAAGTATGAATTAAGAGAACTTTAAAGAATGAGTTTCAAAGTTTAGCTTTTAAGCTATACCTGTAAAATATCGTGTGCATATTTCCCATATTAGTTTTGTCCTCGAGTTATTTTTTGACAGCTGTGGGAATTAAATATAGTTAGAAGAAATGTACATATCTACTTTGCTGTCCAGCTTGTATTTTTTTTTAAGATTTTTTCTTCTTTTTTTAATTTAGCATTTACAATCATAGCTTATCACATTGTAGTGATGCCTTAAAAATTACACATTAGTGTTATATTAGGGTGCTAGACATTTTTGTATTCTTGTTCTGAGTGATGTAGTTTAAGACTCGGGTAAACCTGTTACATTTTTTTGGAGCATCTCTCAGTAGCCCTGATAGGCCAAATCTGTTAATGTTCTAGGAAACATTACAAAAAATTAATTCTTGCTGACCCTTGCCTATCACTGCCTTTTTGTTCAACTGCCTTACAATAATAAAATACCTTTCACAGTTAAGGAATGACAGATTAAGATCTTGGAGGCAGTCCATGGAATTTACTCTTTCCTGAAGGGGAAAAGTGTTTCTCAAACAGCAAGGCATTTAGCAAACGTTCTCAGCGTTCAGTGCCATGGGAGCTGCTTGTGATAAAGTAGGCCTTAAATTCCTCTGAGTCACTAATGTAACTTTTGCTCTTTGCACAGTGCATTTTCCAGTTGTTGAGCTTCATGGGTAGTTTTGCACAGGTTAGAGAGCAGTAAAGACCCTCCTCTAGAAGATTTCCCATCTCCTCCACCCCCTGCCCAGCTACAAACCTCTCCTCTAAAGATGTCAGCTCCACTAATAGCTCAGTTCTCCTTCACTGGCTCAAAAATTCAAATAAATAATAAAGCCATTATGTCACTACTGAAAACCTTTTTTACCCATACAAAATTTGTGGTAGTAACTGGTACCTGATCAGCTAATCCAGCAACACTGGTAAGGAGAGTGTTTAAGTCTGTTATTAGCTGTAATTCAGCCCAAAAGATGTGCTGAGGTTCTCCTGTATTTAAATATATTAAAATACCATTTTTCCAAGAAATATTATAGCAATAGCCTTTACTATCAGCATAAAATAGCAATTTCTACGCAGCACAGGAAAAATGTTAGTTAATTGATTTTTCAGCTTGAGTAGTGCTTCTGTGTATTCAGGCAGGTTGATAGCTGTGGCAGTTCAGTCCTGTGAAAAGCACACCCTGACCTTTCACTGCCCATAAAAAATGTTTACTGTTTCACATATTAAACAGCACAGCTCCTTTTTATCCAGCAGTACAGAAAAAGTAAGGTATGACCAGAGCTGGTTTTGGTTGCTAAGGAGGAAACAACCTGTAACATTGGATTCATTTGTTCTTTCTTTAGTGTTGGAACAAGCAGTAGAACCCTGTTCTTATGCTGCTTTAACGTTTTTCTGTGAGGGAAGGACGCTGCCCTATACGTTGGGCCCACACTAGTGAATGGCAGTAATCAACACTGAAGGAACAGTGCAGTACACCCTGGGATGAGGTACAGGGTACAGTGCCACTTGTTGAACAAGAAGCAGCCAAGGGGGAGTGACAGAAAGCACTGAATAAAGCAGCACATCTCTGTGTGTCGTCCATGTCCCAACATGCCATAGCTACCCTCCCTCAGATGTACTGACATAATGACAAGTCCTCAGACCTGCTGTCCTAAACTAACCACTACTGTTCAAAAAAATAATTCAAAAGCATTTCTTGTCATAAAATCTGTTTTTGAAGTTACTGAAGTTTTACAAAAATACTTTTTCTAGGGCAGCAGATTTGATGGAGGAAAGCATATGAAAGACCCAAACGCTTGAACTGTTTGATCCATTTTTTTCTGAAAAAAATTCTGTTTAAACTTTTAGCAGTTTTGTATCTTAAGTCAAGATTTGCTATCTATGTGAAGAGCACATTGGTGCCATTAATTTGGGAGCCTGGCTTTGCTGGAGTACAGGCTTTACAGATCATGATACTGTTACCATTTTACAGGACTCATCAGTACAAGAATGCTTTTCTTTCACATTTCACAACCAACATTTTAAAACTTTCACAGGGCAGTTACAAAGACAAACTTATGCACATAGGTCTCAGTGAGCAAATGCAACAAGATGATGCAACAAGAAATGAAAACCCACCAAAATAAAAAAACCCGGGAGACATCCAGCAAGAAGAGAATTAAGTTTTTCTCCCTTTTTGCCTTTAGTATCCTACCTCATCATGCCTGTTCTGGCAGTCACAGTTGTTTCAGCCTTTGAGCTATTGATCTGGAGATTATTAGTTAATAAAAATTAATGGCATAAACATTCTTTTACTTCTTGTAGGAGGAGACTTAAAAGCCAGTTTACTCCATCTGTTTTTTCAATGTGGCAAGAGAAAAAAAAAACTTTAAAATTAGCTTATACATGTAAATCCAGTTACTGAAAACTTGTCCTTAGAATAAACCAAAGGTAAAGACTGAAGTCTGTATTCTGCTTTCACTTGAGATGGCTGCAACAGAAGCTTGACCTTGTGTTCTCAGAGACAGGATTTGACTTCATTTGTCAATTTCTACCTATGAAATGCTGTGTAATGATATTACCTGTTAATTAAATCAGTATATAAAGAAAAAAAATAATTGCATTCCAGTCAAATAAAATTCAGTTTCACTTTATTCAAGCCGAAGAGGAGGTCGGGGTCAGGGGTCGGGAGAAGGACTGTAGAAAACAAAAAAGCTATGCCATGCAAACCCATGCAGCTGAACAAAACGAGGTGCAGTTAGATTTACAAATGTCTTAGCAATGTGTCTGGCTTCTTTGATTCTGTGTTTGCTTGTCATTGATTTCTCAGAGGTAATTCTAACCCTTAACAAACTACTACTGAGAACCCAAATGACATTTCTCAAAGGTATTACATTTAAGCAACAGTAATCTAGAAGAGAAACTGTTCTTCAATAAAGGCCATGGTATACATTTAAACACCACAGCAGGCAGACCTTAATACCTATATTTTAATTTTTATTAATATCCCCTTGTCTAATTGCATATACATTTTTAATAAAAATTAATATATCTATTCTGCCTTCTTGTTGGAAAAAAATACGCATATTGCAATAAGCAATGAAGTACAGCGAAGTGGACACCTCAAACAACTTGCAGTAATCCAGAAAACTACACAGTGGCCTAAGTCTGAACACCTTCCTCCTTGACCCAGGCTGATGTATAGTTAAAACAGAGAGAACTGGTATTTGCCAAGGAATGGCAAAACTCATTCATGATGTATGGAGAAAGCATAAGGAAAACACAAAGGAAAAAGATACAATTTACTGACTAGAAAAAGGCATCTATAGAAAAATCACATCATTACAAGTGGAGACAAGGAGGGAGGTGGAAGAAAGGTCACATGTTAACTTTTGAACACTTCTAGTGTTTTAGTTCTGGTGTTAAGGCTTTTAGTTAGCACAGCAGATCAAAATATTTTATACTTTATAGGAAAAATGTCATTTTGGGGGAATTGTTATGCTTTCCAAAACATGAACTTAACCACAGACATGCACTTTTAAAATAAATTCTTCAATATTAATTGTTACATTGCTTAAATATTGCTGAAGAGAGCAAGCCAAGATTGGAGAATCAGGAGATTGTTGGCAAAATAAATGTAAAAAAGTTAAGAACTGGAGATAATATTTGTTTAAATAGAGGCTCTGTGGAGAGAAAATGTTTAGAATAGGGTAAATTGAAAAGCCACACAAATGGGAATGTACAGAGTACTTGCAAGAGGTACTAGAAGTGAAAGTTGCAGCAGATACTCAGTAAATACTGTGGATAGAAAAAGAAAGGAGACAACATGGTAATCAAGAATCAAGATCATTATAAGGCTATTAAATGAACTATCATGACTAAGATGAAAAGTGATAGATGAAAAACAAATTACAGATCTTGAATAGTACTCAGTGCACATAATAACACTACTCATGTAAGGCAAAGTATTCTAACCTGAGTTAATACGCTTGGTACGTGCTTGGTGTACAAACAAGTGGAGTAACACAGTCATTGTCATAGTTTGGACTTCTCTTATAACCTTTTGATTCAGTTTACAATTTATGGCAAAAATTACATGATTACATGTATTTTGAAAGCCACTATATGGTTACTCAACACCAAAGGCAAGACTTATAGTAAACTAAAGAACTGCAATTGTAGGTTAGCATGCTAGACATTTTAGATTTTACAATCATGTGACCATGTGGGTATCTCAAGCAGCAATGTCAGAATTATATCCCATAGCTATAAATATTCCAAACAATTGCTTGGAAAGAATATTTTGGCAGCAGGTACTTACTATATTTACCAGATATTTTGAAGATTTTGATACAGGAATTTATGGGAACCTTCATGTAAAACTGGACTGTTTCCTGTACTTTTTACATCAACTGCAGTAAACAGCCATTCAACAATACTATGACTGCTATGTCTAAGAAATAAGCAGAATTGTAAACACTCAAGCTCTCCTTATTAAAGTCCTGCTGTCTGAATATGAAACAAAAAAGTTTCACAGGGTAAGAAAAGTTGATAAAAGCAACAATGAAATATTATATTTCTTATTTAATATAAATTTCATTTTATTAGTCACTTGCTTAGCACACGATACTGTGTAATCCAAGGCATTTGTTTTTGGTATGCAACAGTGCACTTATAACCCCATAAACTCCTTCAAAAGTTGCAAGACTGTTAATAACTTTTATTTAAAATAATAGGCTTTAATTAATATTTTTAGTGCAGAGATATATTAATTCTCCCCATTACACATTTTTGTAAACTGTTATATTTTCTGTGAATATTGATAGAGGTGCTGCAACATTTCCTTGAGTAGAATATAAAAGAAG